AACATTTATTCAAATCTAATATTAACCCACTACTAAGCAATAAAGAATAAATTCCAATCTTGGTGACAGGTGAAGCTTTCCCATTCCCCATGATCAAGTTTATCTTCCCGTGCTCCACGACCTCACTTCTTTTTAGGCCCTGCAAATCAGAACAAATGTGAATTCTACATCGTGTATCAAGGACCCATAAATTAGTATGTGGTGAGTTATTAGACAATATAGTGTAAATACCTGTATGGGTGGGTTTCACTTTCCCATCCTTAACATCCTGCAAGTACTTGGGGCGGCTTCGCTTCCAGTGCCCTTTCTCCTGAAAGTAAAAGCATTGTGCATTCTTCGGGTTGGAAGAGGGAGTAGCAGAACCTACTTTGGTTCCACTCGAAGAGGAGCCATCAAGAGACTTTCCCTTGGTACCCTTCGAAGGGGTTTCCTCTTCTTCCCTTTACCTTGCCCGATTGCCAGAACAGGGGCTGTGGTAGGAATAGATACAACTGATTTACCTTTGAGACCAGTTTCGGCTGTCCTCAAAAGTCCTTGAAGTTTGCTAAGTGTGACCTCCTCCTTGTTCATATGATAGGTCATACGGAACTGATCATAACACGGAGGTAAGGAGTGTAGTATCATATCAATAGCTAGCTCCTCAGGGAAGTTCACATTCAACTTTAGCAATCGGTCCATAAACCGTTGTATCTTCTGCAAGTGGCCCGTGATGGGTTCACCATCCTTCATCTTGGTTTTTATCATGGAAGAGATGATTTCATACCTCTCTTGACGAGCACTCTGATGGTATCTTTCCATCAGGTCCTGGTGCATCTCATAAGGGTAGAAATCTTAGTACGATTTCTGGAGTTCTGATGTCATGGTAGCCAACATGATACAACATACCTTATTGGCATCCTTCTCATGGCTAGTGTACTCAGCAATTTCCTCTGGAGTAGCAGAAGACTCATCGATTTCCTATAGCTCCTTGTCTAGGACATATTCCTTGTCCTCATAACGAGTGACAATCCTGATGTTCCTAATCCAATCATTGAAGTTGGAACCATCAAAGATGACTCTCCCACAAAGGTTAATGAGAGAGAAGGAGCCAGAAGGGTTTGAGCCAGAAGCATTGTTGGAAGACATCTGAAAAAGAAGAAAAACAAGTTTAGATTAGATAAAGAGTCCTTAATAAGACACCCAAATGAAATATTAAGGCTATGACCCAACACAATATTTTGTAACATGGAAGAGGGATGCCGTAATCCAAGCTACAAAATATTTAAAGGTAGGTAAATGACGATTTACTAATTTCCACCATGAAAAACGAAATAGATTATTAGGATTTAATTGGATTGAAACTCCTAGATCTTTTGACATTCATTGAACAATTCAATTGCATTTTTAAATCTCGATTATGCCCTTCAAGTTTGTGACTGGGATATCGAGGATCACAAACAAGGTATGAATAACCATGCAAATTAACTTGGTGCTCTTAATTTTAACACCTAATCGATGTGCCGGTTAACCACACACGCTCCACCGATCTATGATAAACCTTAAGCCACCCTTTGCCACCATCGTTAAGTCCAAGTTAGTGTGTCGGTTAACCACACACGCTCCACTAACGACTTTAGCAAGGTGTAAAGTGTAATTTCATGGGTTAGCATCAATTTCACATTTTCCTAAAGTAACTAACACTAGGAATTTATAAAAGGTTTAGTTACATTGTATTTATCATTATACTTTTAATGAGAATTATACTCTTTGTCCTACCCGTTCGGCTAACGACCCTTCACCAGTCAAGGAAGCGGTGGGTGAGAGTGAACACCCATTAAGGTGCCATTTTATAGGCAACAACATTATACCCCCCCCCCCTTATAGACCAGCTTCATGAATGAGGCCTACTAACGGTAAGAACGACTTGATCTTATATATATATATATATATATATATATATATATATATATATATATATATATATATATATATATATATAGATTATATATATATATATATATATATATCTATATATATATATATATCTATATTATAACTTATAATACTATAAAGTATAAGGGTTGAATTTTAAACTTTTAAAATTTTAGGGTTTGGAATTAAAGTTTTCTAAAATGACTTTACAAATTCCAAAAATTGAGGGCTAGTTTTGAAACTATTCAAAACCTTTCATTTCTATAACTTATGAGTTTTAATGATTTTAATGGAAAAGACTCTTGGAATTCCATAACTTGAGGATAAGTTATGGAGTCCATTAAAAAGCATTTAGATCACCAATTAAACTAACAAGCATGTCAAATAATTTCTATGATCTAACACAACTCATAAGGATGCATAATACATATCAACAGTTTTCAAGAATCATATGAACTTAATATAAAACTTGAAACTTTGACAATTAACATTGAAATTGGATAAGCACAATCATTACCACATCAAAAACAGGTTTAACAATCTAAAAACAGTTTAGGGTAATGATCCTAGTCCAATTCCAGTAATAAAACTCGAAATTCTGCACTCAGGGCCTCCTACTCGCCGAGTACATGAACCTACTCGACGAGTAGGATTAGTTTTCATATGGACTCGTCGAGTCCCCCATGGACTCGGCGAGTTCACTGAACAATGATCAGAATATCGATTTTTTAACAATTTGCATCAAGTATAATTGAAAAAAAACCTAGTCTCTGATACCACCAATGGGTTTTGAGCATTCTAACACTCCTGTGGTGTGCATGCAACCCTAATAACCTTGGATCTATGTTTTCTCTATTATAAATGCAAACTTTCATTTTTCCAAGGTTTCCTCCTAACTAGCATATGATTGGGGTATATGTAATATAAAAACTAGTAGAATGACATACATTTCTTGTATCTTGGATTCCTTAAGACCTTCTGAGCCTATCACCCCAAATGTGATGCCTCAAATGTTTCACACAACACCACCAACAACTTGGAATAACTTGAGAGAAGATTGATATGCACCAAAATCGGCTAGCCCTCACTAGTATCTCATAAGTGTCGATTTTACAAGGATGAGGCTTCTTTATATAGTGTGCTCATTAGGGTTACACCATGTAACTCATGCCTTTCCATATTCCTCATGATCCATGGGTCTTAAACTCCATGGAGTATCCATGGGTAACCACATTGGTTTAGCCCATCATGAAAAACTATGAATCATTAGCCCACTATACATGAATGAATGATTTACCAAATCAATCCTCATTTATTTAATTAGTCTCTTTTGATCACAAAATTAATTCCAAACTAATTCTTGATCAATACTAATTAAATAATATGATGTCATATTAATATATTAGAACTTATAATATATTAATAAACCATAAATATCCTCTTCTCACAAAAGTCTATCCAAATTGTTCCGATGTCATGCAACCCAAATGGACCATGCTAAACCGGGTCAAGTACATACCAAATGTAGTTATGGACTTAGACACCTTATCCAACATAACTTACAATCAACGACGGAAATGCGACGAAATCCATTGGTTTTATGAGCTTTCTTGACCAGTTATTTCGTAGTTAAATAACTCATCAGCGACGGATTAACGACAGACATCATCGATGGATTAGCGACGGAATCGAGAGGTTCCATGATCAATTATGGCGTCGCTAATCCGTCGCTGAATCCCTCGCTAATCCATCGCCGTTAGCAACAAGGGTTCTTTCGATCACCAAAATCCGTCGCCAATCCGTAGCTGATACATCTTTTTCTAGTAGTGACAAATAAACAAATAAATGTTATAACACTAGCTCTTTGCTAATGTTGGTTCTTTTTGTTTTATAAAATAATTAAGTTGTTTAAAAATAAAATTGCTCTTGTCGCAAATAAATCATTAATCGCTAAAGTTGCAACATAGTCAAACTTGCAAAGAACTATATGTCATATTTTGTTGGTACATAGCTTCAGCATCACCAGGACCGGTCCTGAAAAATTAAATATTCTCGAAGGTTCATGATGAACAAGAAAAAAATAACCCTTATCTTTATTATAATTTTATTTTTTAAATAAAAAATATATAATGAATAAAATTGGCCATGTGCAGCTGCCCACTTTGCCCCCTCCTCAACGCCCCCATACGCATCACATTACCTATGGGCTAGAATCGCTAATACTCAAATTTCTCATAGTGTTTCCATCTCTCATGATGTTAAAATTTCGATTAAAATTCATCAATCATAACAACAAAATAACAGGAGAATTAGCAAGTTCCACTGTGTACAAAGTAACAGGAGAACTAAATAGCTATAGTATTAGCAACGGAAATTCATTACTAACGATAATGCGTACAAAGATAACAGCCATGTTATTAAAGGACACCAATGATGTTTAAAATAGCAATGCATCTTGGCAACAAACTAGTAACAGTTTTTTTTTTTTTTTAATTTTTTTTTATCATGGTTATTAACTAATGGAATTTTTTTTTATAGTGGCGAAATATCCGTCACAAAATCGGTCACTACTCTGACAAATTTTTTTATTTTATTATAAGACTATTTTCGACAACTTAATGACAAATATTGCATAGCTAACTGTATAATACTCTTTTGTCAAACGGATATTATCCGCCGATAACTTATTGCCTGAAAGAAAATTGCAACAAGTTAAAACCGGATTCGTGGATGCCCAAGTTTCTATTTAGGGCATATAATGCAAGTGGGATACAAGGTGAATTTGATGGTCAGATAATGACTAGGATTTAATAAGTATGACATGGAGTGGAGTTATAAAAATGGTGACTATGAATAAATAGACGTTAATTTAATGAGTTTTGTGTATTAAAAATAAGTTGCATATCATGTATTTAATGGTGGATATAGAATATATTGAACTATGTAGGGTTCAAATGATTATGGACGCATGTCATCTAGTCATATTATTAGTGTCTTACAAACAAATCATAGGAGTAAACTTATGTAATTCCAATTATGAAAATTGGAAGTATACAATATTACATACAAACTAAAAAAGAAATGGAAATATGCGTGTGATCAATAAAAATGAATTTAAAAGAAAAACAATGAAATTAGTTGACTAAGAGTTTTAATCACCGTTCATCCCCGTCCCATTCAGGCTTCATTTTAGGACCGGTAGGTCCATCCTCGCTGGAAAATTCGGTCGGAATAATATCCAGCAAACTCCCGATCGCCGATCCCACAATTCCGGTCAATGAATTCTCCAATTTTTCGATCTCAGTCCCAATCTCATACGTTATTTTTGGACCCCATTTCCTCGCGTAGTTCACCCATGGTGGCTCGATTACGTCACTGGTGTACTCAGCTGCCATTACCAAATACTTGTCCTTTACGTCCAAAAACTTATCACTTTTTGCAGCATCATTTCTGATCCCGATCACATCAGTTCCTTGCATTACAACCCCTGGAGTAGGGTACGTTGCATGGCCATTCAACGAAGGATAAGCTGCAAATCTATTACTCATATCCAAGAACTCGAGTGATGGGGTGTCGACCCATGTTCCTCCACTATGTTGAGCAAAATAAACACGATACAAAAGTCCATCGAAGTTGCTAATCCGAAGGGTCACATGCTCCCAATCTCCTATATGCTCACCAATCCTTCCTAGAGGAATATCAACTAAACCAAACTTTGCAGTGGAAGGACCATTAAAAGGGTAGAAAAGCCAAATGGCTAGATCAGTAAACGTGGCTCCAAGCATTGGTTTGACATGAATATAAGCCTCACCGTTTTGCAAATCACCTTTCTTGACTCTTTCTCTCTCAGTTTCATCAACAGGGAGGTCGAGCCAGTATGTGCCATCGTTTGAACCACCTTGCGGAAGATTAGAGCCAGTGGATTCGACCGGAATTGGGTTTGATTCCTCTCCGGTGTGGTACAATTGAACACCATTGGTGAAATACCATGTTGTTGAAGCAGGCAAGTAGGTTTCTTTAGGGTGAAAAAAGAATCTTGGAGAGTATTCTTGAACAAGGGCATTAATTTGTGCTACATTTGGCAAAAAAGAAGTTGACTTATCGAAATTATTGTTCTTCAAGCAAGAAAGAGACAATAAACTCGAATCGTCTCCATCTTTCACAATTATGAATGTACCTACCGATACCCCTTGCGCTTGTCGCCCTCTAACTTTTGGCCTTAATCCATACACACTGACACCATCCGAACCCCATAACAATGCATCAGTTTCAGGTTCTTCAGTTAGATCAGCACGAACACAACGGATTTTATCTAAGGAGGGTTTTTCCGGTGAGGTAGTAATAGCATACCCAACTGACTTATAACCCTCCGGTGGTGTTGGCAGCCAAATGTAACATGAATCATTACTGCTCCAAACGAGGGTATAGTCGACCGGATTAACAAGGGTTCCGCCGGAGACATCTTTTCCGGCGAGAATCCAACCAAAAAGTGGGGTGTCATTGGATTGACAGTAGCAACCAAGCAAGGAGAACCCATCTGGAAGTGGTGATGGCTCAAAGACTGTGACATCAGTGTCATTAGATCCAATCTGAGAAGTTGACCATATTCTCTTGAAAGATGTAACTTGACAAACTTCTAATCCTCCAAGATCAATTGTACCACTTGCAAAACTTTCACCTGATAGATAAATCATGTACCCGAAAATATATTAAATGGAGAAAATTATACGAATCCACGATGGGGTACTTGAAATTAAAGACATGGTTAAACTTCGTGTTTATACGTAATTTAGTAAGTATACTTGAAATTAAGTCTTTTGGACCAACAACTATAGATGAAAAATAAGGAACACTACCTTGTGGCCAAGAAGGCAATGGAGAAGGAAGCTTGAACCTCGTTTCAACTGGAAAGGCTTCGGTTTCTTTTGAGGTAAAGCAAGACCCATAGTTCCCCATTTTTGGGAGTATTGGTTCTGAGTTCTAAACCAAACACTTATTATATATAGGTGTAAAACACACACACACGGCTCTAAAATTCATTTTATTTTAATTTAGAATATTAAAAGTCCGAATCTTTTTCCTAACCTTAAAAATGTTTAGTCCCGTCGATCAAACTCAACCCGCCCACATCGAACAACCCATGTCATTTTTAATAAATTGTTAAACCGTGGAAGAAACCTAGTAATGACTTTTTGAATTTTAAAGAGAAAAGAAAGGATAAAAAGGAAAATAAATCTAATATTCGGTAGATATCGACTGTTTATTATTAATTAATTTTTAAATTATAAATGTCTTGTGGTAGGGATATTGGTAGATGGATATAGTTATAGTCCTCCATCCACTCCACCAAATAATAATAAGAATATGAGAAAATTGCGAAAACGGTGCCTATATTTGTCAAAAAGTTGTAGATTTGATCTGAAAAAATTTAGATTTACATTGGTGGTCAAATTTCAGACTTTTTTTTGGTAATTTTATTACTTGTATTGCTATTTTTGTATGGTTTCGGACTTTAGTCCATACCCAACGTGAAATTATTATTTTGTTTTTTTATTATAATATTTTATCTATATAAAATTATAAATATAAAAAGAAACTCACGACTGCCCCCAGGCCGGTCCTGAGGAATTAAATATCCTCAAAGGCCCAGGACGAGCCAGAAAAAAAGGCCCTTATCGTCATTATAAGATTTTATTTTTAAATAAAAATATATAATAAAAAAATTGGGTCCTATGCAACTGCCCAATTTGGCCCCCCCCCCCCCCCTCAACGTCCCCCATGCCTACCCTACTCCCACCTCCAGCGAAATATATTTCCCCTCTCCGTTTATCTAACAATCAAAATATCTATCTGTATCTCTCTCTTTATATATCTACTTGTCTGTCTGTCTGTCTGTCTATCGAGAACCACAACAAACACTTTGAAACCTTAGACTTAAGCAGACACACAGTACTGGACCAACTTGAGTAATCAGAGAGAATACCACATTCTCCTCCTTCCTTTCCTTTCACCGAAAAACTCCACTTCTCTTCAACATTGCCTCAACCTCGCATCAAATGTTTGTAAAGCGCATTGTCTCATTAGAAACTTAGTCTCCTCCCTATAACTGGTTGGCGCTTTCTCCCATTACCTCCCACCGCTACTACCACTTCTCCTTTTTCCATTATCTTTGTTTTTTTATATGTTTAAAAAACCCTAAATCGATTACATCTTGAAACATAAGGCTAAATACAGATGAAACCTTAGAAGGATCCCCAAATTCTTACACTAGTACAAAACTACACTATGACATCGGTTTTTGAAAATTGGGTCTTCTCGGTTTATATGTGTCTTTACCTTATATCGATTATTAAACCAGACATATGGTGTTGAAGTTTCATTTTAAGTGGTTAAATCTTATATTGAAGGTTCTAACATGAAAAAACCCGTGACAAGTCGTCTAACGGCCGAAAATGGTGGTCAAATTTCATCTATTATAACCAGTTTTTTATTTGATATATACTTTAATGAACTAAGTGAAATCCAACTATCCAAGTCTAGTAAACCGGTCCAAACTATCCAAGTAAAATAAACATGTTCAACTGTTTTTTTAACATATCTATTACACCGGTTCAGCCTGATTATTTAACAAACAGTTTGTTTTGATCTGGTCTAAAAATTAACATAAAACTGGTTGTTGGTTGAACCGCTTTCATCCCGGTTCCTGGTTCGAACCAGTTTTAAAAACATTGGACATAATATCATAATTTTTTACTACAAATTGTAAAATATCAGTCTTGCTGTAAAACTACCCCATTAGGGTGATTTGAAAGAGGACTCACCACTTTTTAATTAAAAATATATAAAACTAAATGAGTTTAGGTGATCTAGGCCTGAGGAACGATCCATGCTCACAAAGGCTCGTCACTTTTTAGAATCAAATACACCCACATGTCCATCATTCACTAGTGGGGTTAAAATAATTTTTCTAATTAAATTTAATTTTATTAATAACTGTATTTTATTTTAAGTACAAAATTAAATAAAGTATACCAAAATCAATGACTAATTTTTCTCTAAAAAGAATGATACCAATATTGATATAGTTTTGTCTATATATTTTTTAATATAAAATTGGATTACGTTGGATTGCTAACGATAATAAAAGGTTTGGTTTAATTGAGTTATGGATGTGGAAAAGAGAGAATTAGTTTTTTAATAAATAATTGGGTTGGATTGGATTCTGGAAAAGGATAGTCTAAATATTTTGTGGTTATTCAAATTATTCATCACATTCAATTTATATTGTTCTTACCATGCACCTAATGTTATAAATAAATATGATCAACTCCACATACATAGGAAGGAAAAGAAATGATCGTACTAGCTAGGAAGAATTTGTCAAGCTAATATTTTAACATAGGTAAATCTTAACAAAAGACAAAAAATATCAAATCAATTATTAATAAAAAATATTGGATATACAACAATAGACCCCCGGTATACTGGGTATATATACTGAAACTTAACAAAAAAAAACTAACCTAAAAATATTTATAAAAGATAAAAGAATAGTATCAGGTTTTGTCCTGCAACTAGTGTATCTTCACAGCTTCTTTTTGTTGTTACGTATTTTTGTGCCCTTACGTATTTTTATACCCATATAGTCTGATCAAAAGTAATCATTGCGGGATTCAGCAGCCATATCAAGTTTATCTACAGAGGGCATTATATATTTGTTTTTGTGTCGTAAAACTATTGTATTGTATTTGTCATCATCGGTTTCATATGCATCTCTATAACTTTTTGGAGGTGTCCTGATCACAATTGACTTTTTATTATCTTCCGGATCACTCACATAGAATACATGTTGTGCTTGTGAGACAAGTATGAACGGATCGTCCTTATGTCCTAACATATCAAGTTCTACTAAGGAGTACCCCAAATGATCTTTTTTAAACGCTTTTTTATTATGAACCCAATCACATTTGAAAATAGGAATTTTTCTTGTATGATAATTTAGAACCCATATATCTTGTAGAACACCATAATAAAAGGTGTTTCCATATGTTACATATTATTTTCTGGATATGTGTGTGTCAGTCGATTCTACGCAAAAGCCACTATTTTTGTTAACTATACCTTCACGGAATTTTATACGAAATAAGTAGCCACTGATGTGATATAGATCATATTTCATTACGACGTGTTGTGGGCCATGAGAAACCCACCTTATGTCCTCTGAAATGCTATCTATGTCGATCGCCATCTATTGCTCTACCTAAATACCATTAAAAGGATAAGCATCAGGGGGCATATTGATCACTTAGTGTTTTGTTCAAGCAATTGATGAATGACAGGGAAAAAAATAAAATTAACGTGGATCATTATTTAACCTCCTCTTTTAACCAATGACCGAAAGCTTCATCGTGCTCTTTCTACATCAATGTTTTTCTTTTCATGGGATGTTTATTTTTTAGATGTATCTTGTGTCGCCTATGGGGACATTGATGAACAGTAGAGTTAGAATATGTTACATTATACATCATTGTGTTGATGTATTTATTAGAGCCATCCATATATTTTAGATATGGTCTTAATGTATTATATATTTATCTAGTCTAAGTCTTTAACTAATTAACATACTTTTACATGTATACATATTAAGTGACGAATTTTATAATGCATTAATGAATTAACCTCTTAGTCTGGATTTTTATAAATAAATGCATAACTAATCAAACAAATAATTAATATATAATTAGTAATATACTTACTCGATATGCAGATACACTTCTGGTGTATTTTGTAGTACAAAGAAATGTGTTTTGATGAAGAGTTCTGGACAAACTTTAGACGTATATGCAGCTAATAGTGCGTACGCATCATTATCAATTGTGTTATGCTTATCTTGTGGAATACCAACAATTTGCATGTTCTTGTGGTACTGACTTTAGAACTCAATTGTCTCCTCTACAACATTCTCTTGAGCAATGCATCCTTCTGGTTTGTTTTTGTTTCGAACATGTCCTTTTATTACCTTCATATATCTTTCAAATGGATACATCCATTGGAAGCATACTGGACCACATATTCTTACTTCTCTAGTAAGGTGAACGACTAAGTGAACCATAATATCAAAAAAATAAATAGATGGAGGTATGGGTTTCTCTAGCAAGCACAATGTGACATGCAGATCTACTTCCAAGACATCGAGCTTTGCCACTATTATTTCTTTTCGAAAAATATAATTAAAAAAACACAATATGATAATTGCATCTCTTGTTGATTTCTACATTATCAATAGTATTGCAATTGACAAAAATTGTTGCATTAGCATGTGATAGTCATGCGATTTATGTCCAATAAGCTTATGCTCCTTTTCACTCACCAAAGTGGAAAATGTTGAACAGTAGCCTTGTGGAACCCTTACGTCTTTAAGTGTTTGCAAAAACATGTCCCTTTCTTCTGAGGTTAATGTACATCTTGATGCAGGCATGAGTAACTGGTCACCTTCTATTGCTTTTGATACAACTATGGTTTTAAACCCAAGCTTTTGAGATCTTTGCGAGCTTTCAATCTGTCTTTGGTCTTATTAGGCAAGTCTAGCATTGTATCGGTAAGACTCTCATCTATGTTCTTTTCAACATGCATGAAATCTATACAGTTTGGGATGGAGTGAAACCGCCAATACTTAAGGTGTTTATACCAAATGTTGCATTTCTTCCAGTACTCTTCCTTGTTCCCACCTTAATTCGATCAATCTTATTTTGAAGTTTTCTTTTTCTTCTTACACTTCCCACATGTTCCTTTAGAAGTTAAAGTGGCCTTCCCACGTTTATTTTGTATAGATTTCACTTCGTTGTATATCTGTTCCCCACTCATAGGCTATGGGGCATATTCCAACTCCCTTTTTCCATTGAAACCAATATTTTCATGTCTGAATGGATGGTCATATGGAAGATAACGCCTATGAACGACATAACTATGTTTCT